AAAAACACGCCCAGACTCAAATCCCAACTCAAGTTGGGACTCAGTTTGGCGCCCAGCTTTAGCAGAACTCGCAACTCAGCCTGGGACTCAGCTCCACATACTTGTTTGTTCATTTGAGTCCTACTTGATTTGTTTCCTTCCACATTGTTTCTTTTATGTGCTTCTTGTGTTGTTTTTTTCGAGTCCTGTCCTGAGTAGTGTGGATTTGTTTTTCCTATTATTTCTTTTTCGGCTTTGCGTGTTGAGTTCAATCTCTTAACTCTTGGGTGCTGAAGGGTGATTTGAACACACACAGATATATAAATATATCTGCAACATACCAGTGCTTCGCTCATACCATTCATATATCATATCAAACATATATATATATATATACACACTGGGGGGAAAGCTGTTGGCGCAACTCGCAAAAAATAGTGGAAACAGCCGCGCCATGTATCTCCTTTTTCTCGCTATTTGGTGGTTAAGGATAGCGTCTGTGCGGATACTGTACTAGTTTTAATTCCCTTTTGATTCCTTTTAATTTCCCTTTGATTTCCTTCTGATTCTTTTTGCTTTCCTTTTGAATCGTATTTAGTGTCCTTTTTGGTTCCTTCTTGATTTCCTTTTGATTCCTTTTTAGTTTCCTTTCGATGTCCTTTGGTTTCCTTTTGATTCCTTTTTAATTTCCTTTTGATTCCTTTTGATTTCCTCTTGATGTCCCTTTAACTTCCTTGGGATTCATTTTAAGATGGAGCGGTCCCAATCTCCGCTATTTTCCCCTTCCCGTTTTGTAGCCAGGGTGCGCATAGTTAGCGCAACACACCTGATACCTAAACCTGGTGCAATAAAGAAAGTCACCTCATCAACTTTCACATCGGAGTACACATATGCGTATGCTTCGCCGGATTTCGCCTTCGACTTTCTCTTTCTTGCAGGGCAGATGACACAGCACTCACTCACACGCAGCTACCGTCCCATCTGCCTGAAGTTTGTATGGGCCCTGGAAGTTCACCAAATGATGTGATGCCTCAGGTCTCCTTCCATGTTGGCAACCTGCAGCTCCCCAGGCACCTTGACCATCCTTAGAATTGCAAGAGGCATTGAAAGCATTGGAAGAAAAGGAGATTGTGGTGCTCCTGGCTGCAAGAGTTGAGCCGCATCACCAAACTTCTCCATGTGTGAGCTTTAGATAGACTGATGCCTCAAAGTCTTCTAACACACACACACATTTCTGCATGTAACTTCTTACATCGACCACAGAGCTCTACTCAGCTCAATAAGACGATGATCAAATAACTCCCCCGTAATGCAAGGCTTGTTGCTGTTGATGGGTTTTATAGCTGAGCGACTCATTTGTTAGCTGCTTGGCCCTTGGCTGTGGGATCAAAGGGTATTTCGGACAAGTGTTAGCGATAGGAAAGTGAGGTTTGGACCTGGGTCAGTGCATTTTGTCCACGCTGCAGTTTGTACAATGATGGTCGCGATCGGGGCGGAAATGATCGAGGGCACAATGTGAAGACACGTGGAAGGCAGGGGCTGACGGTCGCTAATGGTCGCTGATAGCTAGCGTTTAAACACCAATGCCTTGACAGCAAGCCCCTGGCGGTGACCTATCAGACAATGTAGACGCCTGCATTGAAACACACAAGCGTTCTTGTAAGGCACAACTCTATATAGCCCTGCATGGGCGTTGGCAGGTCACTTCCTGCTGGGCGACGATTATATGAGTCTTGGCTATTTTCGGCTCACTACGACCAGTATACCAGCGGTCCCGAAAACTTGACGATACTCTTTTATATATATATATATACATGTTGCTGTAGTGTGTGTGGAATTAAGCTTTTGAAGCATGACATTTGGGAATTCAAGGTTGATCAGGAATCATTTGCGGTACACATAGTCAGTGGATACACTTTTATCAACCACAGTGTATGAAGCATTACCGGCTTTCGATGGCCCAGGAGTTCCTACTTTGCCGCATTGGTGCAGGCCGCTCATACTTGATCGATGCCCCGTCCCATGCAGTGCCCAGGTTGCAGTGGTTGGTTGAGCTAGGCTGGTTCTCCTGCCCAGTACGGCCGTGCCGTGAGCTCCGCGAAAGGCCTTTTCTGGAAGCAAGGCGAATGCAGACGTTTGGCAATAGTCATCCCAATGCAAGCAGTATAAGTAGCAACGAATCGGCAACATTTGTTTATCCCTCTCTCAACCCCATAAGAATTTCAAGGGCACCCTGCTGTCCTTCCTGCCCCACCATTTGTGTCAAACTCAGGAAACCTTGGCACTTCCTCCAGAGTACGACAGCTTTTTTGTTCGCCACAGCCCTGCTAACGAGCAAGTTGTCAATGAAGAGTTCCCTGGAGTGCTACCTCGACATGTTCTGCACCACGAGCAGCTTGGCATGCTTGCTGGACATTTCTTCTTGCCTGGAAATGGATGTGGAGAATGCTGAGGTACATGGTGAGGGACCCTGCGCAGGTACGCGTGTTCCAGTGCATTGCATGACTGCGGAGTCTGCTTTTGCAGTCTTGATCACCGGGCTGTCCTTGGGCTTTCATCAGTATGCCTTCTGCCCTGTAAGGCGCTTCCTGTCTACTTGGTGCACTTTGAGTTTGACCCTGAGATGCCTGAGCTGCTGAACCTTCCGCTTTGCGACAGCTGTGGGCTGCAAGCTGCACTCGCAACTCGGATGTCTAGGCTAAACTGCAGGGTTCCGCTAGTCGCGACATGATCATTGGAATCATGTCCCTTTTGGCATCCTTGCCTCTCTTGGGTACCGGCGATGCAGATTGAGGAGTGATCGAGCAGTTTGCTGAGGTCTTCTGCGAGGCGGATGATGCCATATTGTGCAGGCCATGCGATAGCCGGATCCACTCAGCGAACAAGTTAGCCTCCAGACATATCCGAGTGGATATAAACCGACGCCCCAATGCTCCCTTGGGGAATTGTTTGGATCACAATGGCTCGGAAGCTGACATGTACTGCACGGTGCCTTGGAACATCTTGGAGCAGCACTGACATTTTGCGTTTTTGTTTCTTTGCGCTGACGGGCTTTTTCAGGCCAGGGTTGGGGAACAATAACTCTCATCAACTCTCCCCACCCGAGCTGCGACACACACACACACACACATTCTTCGCATGCTTTCTGGAGCAACTGGCGCTGGGTCTATGTTCAGTTTGCATCTCAGGAATGCAAAATGCCTGTATGCCAGCACTGCCGCAAGCTGGGAAACCATAGTGCAGGACCCGTGGCAAGACTCTTTGTGTTTCCAAGCGCTTGCATCGCTGTGCCACCTCAAGATGACAATGCTGTTAGCTCTTGAGTTAGCGTTTGTGCGAACACAGCGCCTGTTTCGAGGCCAATTGATTTAGCGTATAATTATCACCTAGTGCGGAGCCGCATGCTTTGGCAAAGAGTTGGCTGCCCAACACTTGAAGTGATCACATCTCAAAACAGGAGAGGCCAAAAAGCACCGCCTCATCAGCTTGAGGGAGGCATACCAACATGCCCTGAAGGCCAGGCTTGGAGAATCAACTGGTGAACAAAGGTGAACAAAGATAGAAAAGCTACGATCCTGTTGATACAGGGATTTTGCTTCACGTGTTTGTTGAATCTCTTCGCGCAGTTGGAGGGATTTTTTCTCACGAAATGAGTTCCATGCACACCAAGGGCTGCCAATGGGACTACAAAATGTTCTTTGGTTGTTAGCGAAACAGAGGCTCAATTCTGCCCTTTACTTCACTCAGGTTTTTTTGGTGAGGTCCCATGGGCATGGCTTTCCCCGGAAATCTCTGCGTTGTTTGGTCAATTCACTTTGCTCATAACAGAAGACTTCTATCAAGTGCAGGCGAGGCTGGGCTGAAGCATTCTGGCTCGATTTTGGACGATCAGTGTTGAAATGGGCGAATCGTGAGGGGTTCGTGGTGCGTACTCCAGAGGCAAGCTCTGCCACTGCCCACGGCATCCTGTCAGAGAGACAGCGGGTGGAGTCGCAGCAGGACTGCGCATTTTTGCAGATTATTTTGGTGCTTCTTTGTATATATTTTGGACTTTGCATATGTCTCTCTTCCCTCTCCCTCTCCCTCTCCCTCTCCCTCTCCCTCTCCCTCTCCCTCTCCCTCTCCCTCTCTCCCTCTCTCTCTCTCTCCCTCTCTCTTTTTCTCCACTCTACCTGTGTGTCTCTCGTCCAAACGGTGCTTCTGCCCTAGGTGGCCGACTTGGACAAGAAATTGGTTGCGGTGCAAGAATCTACACAGGCTCTGGAGGATGGCATCTATGACCAAGTGCAGTGCCTCAGCCCACTTCAGGCCTATGCATTTCCCAGAATAGACATCAGCCGGGCTGACCCCTTGACTAACGTTTAAAGCTCAATTCGCCCTTTGAGACTTTTCAGGTGAGTCTTGCAAGGTGGTCAGATCTGAGGTTGGCAGTGAAGCAAGGCCAAGCCCTGGCAGAAGAACAAGCGTCGCTTTTCATGGCCGCAACTTGGATTTCATCGGGCTTTAATAAAGTGCGTAGTCTAGCCTGCGAAAAGTGGAATTTTCTCATACCGTGGTGTGCGAGGATGAGTTGGAAGCGAAACGCCAGCTGGACCAGGCAAGCTGGATGGCAGCTTGGACTATGGGTGTGGAAATGGAGCATTTGTTCCCTCGCTACCTTGCACACTTGCTTGAAGCCCGCAAGCTCAACTTAGATCATGAACGAAGTTGTGGCTTAGCGGGTGTTGCGGGTCGTCGCGCTTTCTTCTCTCCTCACCAAGCTCACCAAGGATTCGTTCCTGGATGATCATGTGAAGAACCTGCCGCCACCTGATTTCATGAATGCCTGGTTACTCCATGCCAAGGCCCACAGTCCTTCGTTCCATTTTTAAAAGTTCAACTGTGACATGCATGCTTGATGGTCTTGACAGGTTCGAGAGGATGTGAGCCAGCTAGGCAGGATTGAAATTGACTTTTTGGAAGCAAGGGTAAACATTTCAATATACACCCTTCTCTTCATTCTTCAGTTCCTTGCACCCCTGTCACTACTTGCCTTCATGAAGCAACCCAGGCCGCCTGACACAAGCTCGTGGCAGTGCCATGCTGCGACTAGAAGGAGGCCTTCGTCTTGTGGCTGATGATGCCAAGGTGCGGATCAAGTTCGACTTCGTCAACAACATGCATTCCAAACTTTGGGAGGCCCTCCAGCCAGTGACCAGACCAGGACTGGGAGATGGCATGACAGCTGCAGCCCGCCCTCAAGGTGGCACACCAAGAGCACGGTTTGTGCTTGATGGCTAGTGGCCAAGGCGGCCTGTACCATAGATAGCTGCTTCAGTTCAAGGCCACTTGCCCAAGGCAAGATGCACCACTTAGACTTAGAGAAGCCAACGAAGTGGCGAGCCAGCAAAAGTGCGGCGGGTGTTGTCCTTGTTGAATCGCGCAATAATCGTGTTTGGATGCTTGGCCATGGGCTTGAACAGGTGTGTGGAACATCTTACGAAGGTGATGCAGGAAATGCAGCACACAAGAAGTCCAGACCTGAGGCCATCGAGCAGGTGCAAAGATGTGAGCAGGTGTTTCTATGCATAGTTACTTTGTGTTACTGAGAGTTTTCCTTGCCAGATCTTGAGATGGTGACCGTGCCCCTCTGCTTTGCACATCCCAACCAAGGTTCCGGATTCATGAGGCCTACGTGATAGCACGGGCCTGAGCAAACTGAGCAACCGAAGCGTCACCTGATCATTCTACTTAAGTGTTGGGAGGTTTCTGATTATGTGTGCAATTGGGAGGTTCGTGACCGAGCGGCTGAACTGAAGCCAATAGTGGAGGAGATTGGACCTCAGGGAGCTAAAAAAGCTGCGGGAGTGACACTTTTGACCTTTCTTCTGGAGCAGCATTGTGCTGAGAAGAGCCAGATTCAGGTGGGAAAAAGCTGAGAAGGAAAAAGCCGGTGATGGTGCTGGGGGCTTGGCCAGCGTGATTTTGAGCATTTCAGTATCTCTGTGATCGATGTGGTTTTGGAACCCTCAGGTTAACCCAAGTGACAAGGGTGACAAGAAGAAGGATGAAAAGAAGAGGGAGAAAGAGAATGGCCGGGCTTGTGTGGTTCTGGAAGTTTGATCACGATACGAAGCAAGCCATGTGCTCAAGATTAATCGCTTGTTTTGTGTGATTGCAGGCAAGCATGAAAGCAAAAGCCGACCCAGAGACAGAGAGAAGGAGAAACGCCTTGGCTTCGGTCGCTGGGAGACCTCATGGAGCCCAGTATGCTGGCATGCTGAGCACAGGATGTGCTGCTAAGCACTTTTATGAGCGAGCCATTTGGCTTCGAAGAAGCTTGGGCCACCTTGAACTCGACAAGCAGAGACACGAGCATGTTCGCTTGCATGCCGAGTATGTGTCAATTCTGTTGATGTGGTGCACTCACGTCCACTGACCTACACATTAGCTACACCTTAGGCACATCACCATAAATCATAAATGTCTTAGAAATCATGGCCGCCGCCTTTACCAAGACCTCCTGATTCAATGGCATGGCATGTCGGGCGTGGCATGTCCGTGAGACATGTCCGACCTCAACGGACGGCAGCTGCAGGCATCCACCCAAGATTGATTCCTTGAGCTGTTTTGCTCTCTTTCTCACTGATTTGCTGCAACGCTGGGTTGATTTGTTTAGGCCCCACAGGAGCAGAGCTGTCCTGTCTTTGCTGTTGGGCCTGACATTGACGGAGACTGTCGCTGTCTTGAGAGCCAGCCGAATTGCTTTCAGGACCCATTTTCCCCGCGCAAGAGAGCATAATTAAAAAGACTAATGCAGCCACTCGTTTGATGTTTTCACTCTTCACCTTTGAGGCCTTCACCAAATTTCACAACTCACAACTGATGCTGGAGGACAGTCGGCAGCAATGTTTTCGCGCAGATGGCCGCCTGGATCTCCACTACTTTGCTGTGGCTAGTCATGCGTTCTATCCTTCTAAATCTGGAAGATGAGCTGCCATTCCAGAGGCTGCAGCCACGCACCAGTCAGATGTTCATCAGGAGAAGCCATGACTAAGGTAAGCTGTGAGACTTGTATGTGTCAGTCATCCATTGGCGATAGCAGCTCCAACGGCATCTTGCTTGCATAGCGGCGTTGTGTGACATGCAACATAGTTCAGCTGGTGATAGAATGGGCCTTCTGAAGCTTGGTTGTTGTGCCATTTGCTTTCACACCAAGATGTCTTGTATATAATGGAGTCCTTGCCTCTCACCTGCGGCCGAGATGGGACAGGGGACGTGATAGCCAGTTGAGGCGAGTCAGAGATTACTTGTGCCACTGCAGATGGGGCTCAGGAGGTGACACTGGCCCCAGATGCAGCAGGCTGGACTGGGAGGTCTGAAATCGTCTGAGGCATTGGGGTTTCAGGAACTAAAACTTTACCCTTTTGACTGATTTTGACCTGTACATTGCACCTTCACGGAACTCTTTGCAGGATTGACGCTTACACCCTGGGCAGGTCTCTGCTACTGTCCCGACTCGTTGCCTCACTGCGTGCTCCTGCCAGATGAGCTAGAAGGATGTGTCGAAAGTGGCCTGGATGTGCTGTAGTGGCCGCTGAGGTGATGCGACAGATTGAACTTTTGGATAGGTCCGATAATAGGTCTTTGCTTGAAAAGTTTTGCAAAGAAAGCTGTGGTGCTTTGTTGAGGTCAAACCGCTGAGACTGTGCTCACAGAGGCATTTCCAGCAGGCGGCATGCCAGAGTTGGCAGACGCATGCAGCGGTAACACTTTCGGGCTGTCACCAAGAGTCTGACAAGGGCAGCTCCAGATTGAAGCGCCCAATCAAAACTTCAACCCTAATTTATATAGCCAGACCGGAGGCGAACTGACAACAAACATGCGCAAGAAAATGGGGAAATTGACCCCTTCCTTTTCGATACTCTTGCGCTCTAGCAATTCTCGACTGGAGATGTCCTTGTCTCGCCACTGCTAGAGGTTGTGTTGCTGAGCGCTGTGCTTGCCGCGCTCCTTGCCCATCTTTTGCGCAGAAAAGGTTTGCTGATCCCTTGGGCGACTGTGCTTGCCCCACTTCGACCCCGCTGTGTCACCTGGTGCATTATGGGGGCGCAACGGTCAATTGTGCCCACAGGGCCAGGTGTGACAAACTAATGTGCACATAAGCTTGGAGATGGGAATAGTTGCCAACCCAGGCTACGAAGATGGTGTGCAGGGCTGCACATCAGCAACAGGGACCACATCCAAGGCATACTTCGCGAGCAGCTGTGGTGCTTTGTCCACATCAATTTGCATCCATTTGACCATTTGAATCAACCCCTTGTGCAAGTCCCAGGGCTCGTACAGTTTTTGCACCTATTTGTGGCTCCCAGTGCTCAGGTTCTCACTGTGAATGCATCCAGCAATTCAACTACCAGTGTGACGCCAGGACACTAGCCGCCTAGTCTTCTTTAGACTCTTTAGACCAATAACCAGTAAGGTGTTGACCCAAGTATTTGAGTGTTGGGGGGCTTATACAAAGCCTAAATGCCACTTGCTGAAGAGAGCACGCACAGAAGAAGCCAGGACCCCCTAGGCCCTGGTCAAAGTCACTAGCGGGCCTTAGACCGTGGATGTGACACCATTTCAAATCATGTTATCTCAAGAACATCAGGTTGTGAGCTTGCCCCCACAATGCACGTTAGCAGAAATTAGATAGACCGGGTGTGGCTGGGTGCTAATTGCACACCTTGTTTGCACCGGTTAATGGCTGCAGGACCTGTCTTGCGAGCACTGACTGCATCTTTTCGACGTGCAGGGATTGCGATATTTGCAAAGGTATCACCAGGTTGGGCCTGTCAGACAAGGACATTCACAGCCAAGTTGAGTGAGTATTTGCCTTTTTATTCCAAGCTCATGGGCGCATGTGCGGCCAACTCATTGCTTTGTCGTTGGACAACCTGGGAGCGCACACATGTGGAATTGTTTGGAGGTGTCCGACACCTCCTGGAGATGATACCGTTAGCCTTCCCGACTGGAGTGGAAACTGCCGGTGTCCAAATCAACAGGAGCCTTGTCTGCTTATCTCGTCTTGTATCATGTGTCACAAGGCGGGTGGGGGATTCAACAGCTTCAACGAGCGAGCGGGTAGTGGGCTGGAACTGCTTTTGCCTCAGGTGTGCTTCGAAGGGGGGGAGCAGATCTCCTGGTTGTCCAATTGCTCCGTCCGGACGCTCTCAATTCTCCTTTCAGGTGACCTGTGTAGATTGCATCTTGGTGGCCATACGCTTTGGAGGAGTGTGCGTGTTGTTGCCCACCAATTCTTGTGGTGACTATGATTCGGCCTGAGAATGTCACATAATATTGAGGCATTTGTGGTGAGCAAACAGGCAGCAGTGGCAACGTGAAGTGCCCCAAGTTCGCACGCGACAACGTCCCTGGTTTTTCGGGTGATTGCATTTGTCCAGATGAACTGCCAGACTGCCGCATGTCGAGCAATTCAGCTATATAGATGTGTTGGGGATTCACTATGGAGCTTTGAGTGAGCTACATGGCATGGGTGAGGCTATCAAGATGGTGTGAAGTGGTGCTTGAGGACGTGTAGAGTGTAGAGCAAACCTGTCCAAACAGAGGGGATGGGGTGTCAAACAGTTCAGAGGCTGAGTAGGTGCTAGCTGCTAGCACAAGTTTACCTGGTTTGAAACAATATGGACGAGTTTCTGGTTTGGGCCCTCTATATAGATTGATTGGGCACATGAACGGTATTGTACGGTAGCTTGAAACACTTTTGTTCTCGCAGGACTGACGGTCAACGAGATCTGCACTATTTTGACCCGGGCTGTTTGGATTGTGATTGCCGTGCGGCAACCCAAAGGAATGGTACAGATGAGCAGGTGCCGATCTGGAGTGAATTGGAGCCCAAAGCATTTGCTGCTTTGTTAGTTTTAGTATCCAACCAATCGTTGCCTCTTCAAGAGGTGTTGGACGATAGATTGCCAATGCATATTGATTATTGAGCTGTACTTGGACGTATATACTTGGCACAGGTCAAGCCATGCCCCAGCTTTGCCAAGTTCTCTGAGTCCAGCTCGTGCCGGGCCTGCAAGATGAATGACTTCCTGTAAGATTTCCAAAGAACTCTCACCCTATTTTGGAGCTTCTCGCCTTCTCAAGCTGCCAGGTACCAGAATTGCCTTTGCCCAGATGACCTGCCCGTTTGCATCCAGCAGGATGGTGCAGCAGCGCCCGGTAGAGCTGGACCATACTGCCGAGTTGCCCAGGCAGCTTGGTGTTAAACATCTCAGCTTCGGCGCTTTCCTTCTGTATCTCTCCTCTCGGACCTTTGCACTCCTAGTAGTAGATTCCTTTGCTAGTAATTACAATTGTAATTAGATTCTTATTGTTACTAGTAGTAAGGCACTTGTTTCTAGTAGCTTCTTGTTACTACTAGTAAGGCACTTGTTACTAGTAGCGATGCACTTGTTCCTAGTATCTCTCCTCTCGGACCTTTGCACTCCTCAGGGCTGGGACTCCTCCCGGGAGTTCCGGTATGATTGCACCACCTGTTCCTGTGTGGGCATCGATGGGGAGGGTTTGCAGCTTCGGGACTTCGCGCCGGAGGAGCAGTATCAGCGTCAGACACGGAGGCAGGTTCTTTAGCGTGGGGCATAGCGGGGGCGAGTTGTGGAGGAGCTGTTGACAGCTGCTGGTGTCACCTACGTGCGCATGAACCTTGCATTTGATATTCGCCTTGTCCCTCAGCATGCGCAGAGAGCTGTGAATTCGTGGTGCCAACATAGGTTAAATATGACTGAGTGAAGAATGGCTAAAGAAATTCTTTAAAAAAAAATGCTTCCAGATGTCATCAAGGCCATCACCAAGAGTTGAGCTGACAGCATTGGTGTGAATCCCAAGGTTAATACCGACAATTCTCTGAATGATTGGTCCCTGGTTTCAGATCGAGTACTCCTCTCTGAGTCCAGCAGGCTTGGCGCAGTTCATTTGCAATCAGACACAGCCGAGCAATTTCAGCGGTCTCAGTCTCCGCTGTCTCCGCTTCTTCGGTACCTGTTTGTTCACCTGCAGAAGTGTCAGGCAAGTGATTGCAGACGCTGCAGCCTTCGCAATTACCGGGCAAGGCCATTCGGTGATGGGCTGCCTGCCTGCAGCTGTGCGACAAGGCATCCTCAAAGTGCTGTTTCAACCAAGGCTATTGCAACGACTTGACGGATGTAACTAGCAGGACATGGAGTTTCGTTTTTGCCCCAGCCTGTCCTTGTCATTGGAACACTCTGATCCCGAAGGACTGTGAATGGAGGAGACTACGAGGGCATTCGCATCCATCGGCTGTTCGCAGAGTTGGGAGTCATGTTTGCCGAAGGCTCAGGCTCGCCTGGCCACAGTAAGTTGGAAAGCTGTTGACGTGCCGCCAAAGCTTTGCAGGCAGGCGCTTGGCGATACGAGACAGCGAGGTGGACTGCAGCGACGCATGCGCGTCAGGGCTGCTTCGGTGATCATTATATATATATATATATACTAATCGCGGCTTTGACCAATGCTCTTGAAGATTTTCAGGCTAGAATGCTAAATTGCTTGGGCATGTTCCATCACCTGTTGGAAACTGCTGGTCAAGTCTCGTAACATCAAGCTTGAACATCGGCCATGATTTGGATGCGGTGTAGAGGGGCACACTACTGACATCTCCTGACTGCCGTAGGCCCCGCAGGCCCGTAAGCCGTAGGATTTGAATTTGAAGACAATGAACTGCTTTTGTTGTTTCAATCATCCAACTCAAGACGACTCAGCAAAAGGTTGTTGCTTGTATTGTTGAGCCAATGCAGGATCCGACTCAGCTGCACCACAGTCGGTCTTTGCAGAGTGTCAAAGCTGTGGACCAGCTGACCTTGCAAGAGCACGAGCTGTTGTTGCGCTCCAGCTGCATTCAAGCAATTGCGGTCGGGGACGCGTGTTTAGATGCAGAGAAGCCCGCAACGGCAGAATTATGTACCATATCATTTGCGCATTTACTTTGCGTGTATTGTGTAGGCTTTGCACATATGATCTCCGCTTGTTGAAGCTCCTGGTCAAGAAATATCTCCGGTGACTCTGAGGAGTTTGTCGACCGTGTTTCGACCAATGCAGTTCAAGCAGCAGCTGGATGTGCAAATGCAGCTCCTTTTGGATGACATGGCGAGCTGGCACCCATCTCCCGGTGGCTTGCAGTGCAAAGTTACACCGAGACGAACAGTCCCGACTCTTCGCAAAAGGATTCTTTTGGGTGATGTGATGGGTCTCCAATCTGGAAACCTGCTTCACAAGGGAACACCAAGGCTTGGGGAAAAGATAGGAGCAGGAGAATCGGAGGCGGTCTTTTGGGTTGGAGATCTCCAGCTCGATGGTGCAGGTTTGGTGCAGCCTCCTCGATTCTCTGTGAGCCGAGCACAGCTTGGAGATCTTCAGGACCTGCCCACGCTGGAGATCACTGGGCCGTTAGCACGCTCGCCACCAGTGACCAACAACATGAAGGCGCTTGAATATCAACAACTTAAAATTTAAGACTTTCAGTTTTGCTTTTCATCGCTCAGATTTGAAGTTAAAACACGGAGCAGGTCTTTGACCCTTTCCACTGTGCTTGTGGCCCTGCAGGATGCCCCAGATGTAGGGACCAGCTCAGAACCCACGCAGGGAGATCTTCCTCAAGATGAGGGGATAGATCTCATGTCCCTGTTGCCTGTGGGTATCTCTGTGGTCTCTCTACTTGTAGCTTTGCCGCTGCTCTATTGCTGCCTGCGCCGGTTCCGTCGCTGCCTGCGCCGCCGCCGCGAGAAGCGGAGGTCCAAGAGCTCTGACGGCTCCCGCTCGCCGCGCTCGCCGCGCTCGCCGCGCTCGCCGACCGGCTCGCCACGCTCGCCGCGGCCTGCGTCGCCGCGGTCGCCCCGGGGCTCCCCGCGGAATGTGGCATCGCCTCGCTCGCCCAAGCAAGGTGTTCGAGAGACCCGAGAGACGCCAGACCCGACAGAGTCAAAAGCCTCGCAGAATCCTGAGGAGGTTACTGCAACCACTTCCTTCAAGCCCACCAACAGCATGCGTGTTGTCCAGCAGGCGACTACCTCTGTTTTTGACAAGAAGAAGCCGAATGAGTCTGCGGTGGGTGACCTGGCAATCCGCCAGAAACTGGGGCAAAAGAGCACGAGTGCTGCAGCAAGCTCGGCTCTGGCCGAGACAGAGAGTGATGAAAACAAGGGAAAGAGGGGCTTCATGGGCCGGATGCGCCGCAAAGACAAGGAGAAGGACCAGAAGGAGAAGGGGGGAAGCCCTAATCAGTCCCCTCGCGCTGCAGATAGGTCGCCTCGAAGTCCTCGATAGCAGGCCATCTGAGTGCCGTGTGGTACAACCTGGAGCTCCTGCAGGTTAGAGCTCCAGGTGCTAATGGGCTGAGGCTGTTGACCGCCAAAGGTGGTGAACAGTCGATGCATTGGGCCAAAGAATGCCTGGCAGCGAAAAATGGATTGAAATGGGTGCACCAGACGCTGTGAGGGTCTTTTTGCGTTGAAATGTCAATTTTTCAATTATTTTTCGACTTCGACCATCTCAGGAGAGATCCAAGAAGAAAGAAAGCCGGAGTCGCTACTTCAGTGTGCACATTCTGCCCAACGACTTGTTGCGTCTGCCTCCCCCAAGGTCGATCACGGCGCAGAGGCAGCAGCAGAAGAGAAAGCAGCCGAAGAAGAGAGAGCAGCCGAAGGCTTGGAGTCTTTGTGTGCCCGAGGGATGTACAGTAGCACCATGACTAGTGAGCCTGTGCCACTCAAGGGAAAGACGATTTAGATCTTGAATGAACAGTGACCGACCTGTGACATCCTGCAGCCTGCTCTACATTATGCATTGGTCCTTTAGGCCGCTTCAGGTGCCTCAGGGCAACCAACAAAAAATGGTGCGCGTGAAGCGTAGTGCAACCACTATCTATGGCAATCATTTGCCAAATGGGAGAGTGACACTTGCCAGACGGCATCGCCATAGCCGCAGCCACAGCAGCAGTCTCAGAGAATTATATACAGATGATTTTTGCACATTGAGTCAAAAAACGATTGGTTGATTGTTTTGCAGTGGAAGCTGGTGATGAGGATGATTTTACCCAATAAAGTGCTTGCGACATTGAATGCTTGATAGTCACCAGCAAGCTGTCATATCGTTTGTCCGTTTGCACGGGAGACAGGCTGCAATCTCAACAGTGCCCGTTCTCCTGGCTGTTTGGGTTCAGCGCCGGATGGCCCTCGAAGTACTGCGGCGGCTCTGCTGCTGCCCGGCCGAGTTCGGAGGACACCGAATGGCCGCAGCAGTGATTTTCTTGCATGGGAGTGGGGATACGGGTCCCGGAGTGCAGGCCGGGGCCTCATAGAAGTGGTGGTGGTGGTGGTGGAGGTGGTGGAACAAGAAACGCATTATGCAATTTCACACAATCAAGCCAATGTGACCGATGTCTTTGATTGGAAGGCATGGCTCCATCATGTCAGTGAGGGGCTTTTTGAGTCTGGACCTCACACTGAAGGGCTGGACAGCAAGAAGTGGAGGGTTCAAAGCTGCAGCTGCTGCTGCTGCTGCTGCTCTGAAACTCCTCTGGCTATGGGTGCATGTCTTCGTCTCTACACCTGCTTCACGTGATGCTACCGCCTCTACAAATGGTTCTCTCATGACACTTTTTGCATTGGCGGGAACTTGGTCAAGTAAACAATTCTGCAGAGTGGGTGTGGTGCGTGCCCCTAAGGGAAGGACTGCGAAAAGCAGGAATTTCGCTTCGATTTCCAACAGCACCCCGGGTGCCGTATAGCTGCTCATTCGCATGTTAGTGCTGGCTACGACGCTTGTGCGAAAGCCGATCAGCTTTGAGGTTTGAATGGTGGCATGCCTCAAACAGTGTGGCCTTCGCCTCATGACGTCAATGAAATTCGAAACAAATTAACAATCAGTGTGTGTGTGTGTGTGGGTATGTGTTTGTCTTCAGGTTTGACAGGGTAGCCATGGCTTACGAAGCGCCCGAGGATGTTGAGGGTCTGACAAGGCCTGGTGATTTAGGCACCTAGATCATCCGAGGGATTTCTTTGGCCAGGACGGTTGAGCTTGTTGACAAAGAAATCGATCCTTGGTAGCAAAATGGACTCACTGGCGACATTTTTGGGCTGGTGACTAATGTCAGGACAAGCTAATCGAATCTGGCATTCCTGTCTCAAAGATAGGCTGGGACCTATGTTCCTAACATTTGTACTCCGTGACAGTGTCAGCAGTGAATTGTTGCTGGTGAAGCCTCATTGCAGGAGTGGCAGGAATGTCCATGGGAGGCTGTTTAGTTGGATCCTTTGTGCTTGCCAGCCTTGGTTCTGGGGCTTGAGCCTGTTCCGAGGCTCTTCATGTGGGCTATGGCATGGGCCGGCATGCTGGAAAGCTGGTCACTGAGTTGAACACCTGTGGACTTGCGTTTGGTGTGGGGGAGGGCCATGCGTTCAGGCTGGGCATAATCGCAAGCTTGAGTACCTTTCTGCCAAAGAATAGCTGTGGAAGCCTCACTCTTTGCTTTCCCCCATAGATATCAATACTGTGGCGTGCTTGAACTGCCATCGTGTCTCAAGAAACGTGCTCAATGAGTCATTTTGTTCAGAATTTTGTTCTCGCAATGTTTCCGTTTTTTGTTGCACCAGGTCTTGATGCTCAAGCTTCTTGTTTGAAATCCTCGCCACCACTTTTCATGGCCCATGGTCCAAAGCTCAAGGGCATGGAGAGCCCAGAAAGCATTGTAGCCAGCTAGATACAGAAGCCAAATGTAGCACCTTAGCATCGCCAGCGAACAAGAAGCCTGCAGATGGTCGAAGCACATAGAATCAGGAGCTACATAAGCTTTGCATAGGTGAAGTCATTGGGCCTTCTTAGACTCCGCAGGTCAACACTAACAGGATAGAAGTGATGTCCTAACAGCAGAGTCTCACTTTGTCGATAAATGCAACCTCGTCTAATTCTAAAACACATGCATGTCACATGCACGATAGTTTAAAACTACATTGTATACTTATTAATTCATATGCATTTCATATGCATTCATATGCGTATATAACATAAATGTATGTCCACACAGGGTGGGTGTTGAGCTTTTAACCGTTTGCACGAGCATTTCATTGAATTCCATTTGAGGCCGCGAGGACGGCCACTGCCCCGGTCCGACCAACAGTTGCTTTTGGGACGTAGTCTGATGCAGTCGCAAGGTATGATTCGCTTGCAGTGGGCAGAAGTGACGCACAAGCGACTTCAAGCGGCAGGCGTTGGTGCGAAGGACATATGGATGTATATAGGAGTATTTCGATTGCATTCTGTCAACCTGGCGTGACTGTTCTAACGCAGAGGAGCTGCTTGTTTTTCCCGGCGTCCAGCATGAGTTGTGCTCAGAAGAGGCACTTGGGCGCCATTTATATGCATCCTTCGTTTACTGAGTCCCTGCAGTCCTTCAGCAATTGAAGGTCTGCTATTGCTATCAATTCAACATCCAGCCGGTGTTGGCTTGCTTGCCAGGTGCAGCAACTCTTTGATTTCGTCGTCCAGCATTTGGGTAAAGCAAAGTGAGCCCACGAGAGGCTGATACCGTGCTGACCAACAGCCAAAAAAGGTGCACAGCCATTTTGTTTGACTTGGACATTTTACAAATTGGCCAAGAGTCATAGTTCCCAACGTTATGTACGCAGCTCAGAGTGGGTCATGACATGACATGGAGTCTCGTAGGGGAGCAGGTGCTGCATCTACAATCTCTTTCAATACAAATGCAATTGGCTATGTACCTAGGCCGGGGGAGAAGACGCCGCTGAAGACAGGTAGATGGCTGCACTTCAATCAAGGCTGGTGCGTGCTTACCTTTCACGTTCTCGGCATGTTTTCATTGCTCCCCGCTGGGTTTTTAAGAAAGCATGACATGACGAAGTACCCTCCTCTGAACAAACCAAGCACCTGCCAGGCCAGACTAGATTACTGTATATAGTGAGACTATCACTGTTTATTTTCATGTACAGGGTGGGTGCTGCTTGGTTAGTTTACGGGGCATACTAAATTATGGGAGAGCACGGATGTTCAGGTGGTCGGGTTGGCACTTATAGTCAAAGTCGCATGGCTGACACTGTGAAGGCTGGCGGTGACTGTGGCTGTAGACCTGGCATCTTAGCAGATGGCAGGCGATCAGCCTTGCGATTTCGCATGAAGCTTCTTCATTTATTTTTTTTTTGCGGTTCCTAGCTTCTAGTGTAGGCAACACTGCAGGCTGCCAAAAGCCTAGACCAGCCAACACACGACCAACATAACATCGAGGTTCGATTTCCAAGAAAGCTGCATACGCATCGACCTGTCAACGTGGTTTGTCGGTGCTGCTTGTGGACCACAATGACCTGCGGTCACTGTGACACCTTTGCTCAAGAGAGCTCAATTGAAGCATGGGCAATGCAAAGTTCACGCGAGAATGCAATGTGGGCAATATGTCAACTTAGTACATACTGTCCTGGGATCTTTGTCCGAGCTATAGACCAGATTCATGTCGGAAAAGTGCCGTCACAGCTTGACTTGCAAAGGGCTTTTGTTTGACTTCCTTTGAGCTTGCACCACATAAACTTGTGGGGGTAGGCAACATTTACACTCCAATTTCTTGAGCTGGCAGTTGATTGATTTTCTAGAATCAAATAGAATTTTCCAAACCAGCATCCAGATATGAGAGCGACATCCCGCAGCCACTGTGCATCGGACATGATTGACTATACACACAGAATAAGAATATCACAGAATTCTTGCTTTCTTGTTTACCCACCAAAAGTAGCACAGTTACAGAAGGAAAAGCCACGTGAGTAAATTAGTCGTACATGACATGGGGATGGTGGGTCTAGATGACACGGGGATTTTGTTATTCTCCTATCAACCTTCTTGCCCATGGCAGTGAAAAACTACTGAGTGTCTCGACCGCATGTCACCATGTTGCCGATAGATACTGTGATTGTTCATGGAGTATTTCGTCACTTCGAGGGAAAACCTTTAAACACACAACATTTTCCTGACAAAATATTTTGATGGAAAAGATGACACTTCTGATCAGCAGGTCCTGGCTCAAGAGGCCGCTTTTGTTCGAGCTAGGCAGCTAGGCATTGCCATCTTACGATGCCCCCTAGGAACAGAAAGAAGGTTCTTGGCAGGTCCTCTCTGCCAATGGGATAGGTGCACCCCAAAAATTGGAAAACAACTAAGGTTTGGGTGGGAGTTTGTTAGGATTTGCTGGCAGTGTGTTAGGATTGGTTAAGATTTGGTGGAACAGAAATGTGGAATAGCACATGTGCCAGGTTTTTCTGGTGACATGATGCCCCAAAGTTTCAAAGTTATGGAAAGTGCACTTGGGAACACAATAGGAAAAAGTTGGAGTGGCAGAGGCTTGTTTTTGTTTGACAGGGGAAACCGACAATTTGAAGGTTTTGATGGTATATTTTTGGTTCTCTTGGGAGTATGCTGTTGGTTTCCTGAAGGACTTTGTTTGGGTCTGGTAGTGGCACTTTGAATAGAGCTTTGTTGGGAGGTCGGCTCACATTCTAATGCATGAACTTCAGGGTGAGCCAAGAAAAGTGAGGTCTTGGACAGTCGTGTCCCAGACCTTTTGTTAGCCAGCCCACAAAGACACCGCCTTGCATTCTTATCAGTCATGTGTGGGAGTGCCAAAGATGCACCTTGACCTTCCCCCCCTATTTTGGAGTGCATCGCTACTAGTAACAAGGTGAATTACCACTACTCGTAGTAGCTAGAAGCTACTAGTAACAAGTGCATCGCTGCGTCGCTACTAGTAGCAAGAACGCTACCAGTAGCTAGGGCATAACTACCAGTAGCAAGGACGCTACTAGGTTGGAGGCCATCGCTACTAGAAGCTACCAAGCTGAGGAACATCCTTCAGCGGAAAGGCCTGGGTGTATCCAGCGGACGCATTGGTCGATTGGATTTAATTTCCTTTGCGTCTGAGACATGTGAAGACCAGGACAGCGGGGACTTCAGTAGGATGCATTTCTTGCGCATTTGTCGGCTTTTTGCATTCTCTATTTACATTTGCACTCATGCAGACCCAAGATATACCACAGGGTCATGGCCATACATCAATCCCTGCTCCATTCTCACATGAAGCGGGTCTCATATCGAGCCCTGGGGTCATGGGAGGATCTTCTAGATTAGGGTCATCGACTTGGGGATATAATTAAACAATCACTTGTTCAATGCCAATCACTTGGTCTCTGTTACTTCCCTCCCTTGCTGCTGGCGCAACTTGACTCCAAACCTCGAAGCCTAAGACCTTGGTCTGGGCCTAGACAGCTCAAGCCAAAGATACTGAAGCTTAGACAATTTCGCACATTACATCATATGCTGCTGGAGTCGGGTGGCCATGGGCAGCACTGAACGCCCATGTCACTTGCTAAAGCATTGAACAATGCCCGCCAAGCTGGCAAGGGTTCCTTGGCCTTAGATGCCAACAAATGCAGCAGCAGAAGTGGTCATTCGTAGCTTCCAGCACGGTTCCATATCATTTCCGATCGATTGCAACCCAAGGACTCCAAGGACTTCATTTGAAGTACCTTGAGGCCTATGCAGAGCAGGCTTCGCCACTTGACCAGCACGCACCGTGTACTCTTTGGGTCACAAGCGATGTTTGAGTGTTTTGGCCAAGTTCAGGCTGGTTTCTTTTGGGGGCGCAATTCTTTAGACTCTGGACGAGATCTTTGATTGCTCTTCTTTGCTCTCAGGACTCCTTCCCTGAACGATGCTGTTTTGTTCCTGGACCTGTTGCGCCAGGTGGGCACGACCTCGCGTCCGCATGAGGGGGGATGTTGATGCGAAACATGGGGACAAGATGTGGACTTGACTACTTGGCCTTCAACCATCGCTACTACTTTGCCTTCAACTGACGAATGGAAGAATTGAAGCCTCGACTCAGGGCCGGTCTACCCTGCACAGCAAAGCTCCTGGGACATTGAAGCGCTATGAGGCGGAGTGCCTGCGGCATGAAGGCCCGGCTTCAAACCCAAGCCGAAGTCCAAGGCAATTGACGATTCACCTACTCCTACCTCTCAGCAATCCATGATCCCAACCGCAGGCTACATCAAGTTCCGCAGCCAGTTCGTGGAGGGCCATGAGTTTGACCAGCCATCGAGCACGATGCTGGTGCGCATCTATAGCAACCTACGTAGGACAGGGCAGCGGCAGATGCTGGTCACCAGTGCCCCATGACGATACAGCATGCTACGAAGTCGAACTGCATGTGCATAGAAAGGCGCATATTTGTCTACCTCGGGATCACTTCGCTGTAAGTGATGTGAAATCAATTAACCAGTTCTCAAATGGGGACCACAGAAGCCGACAATTCAGGGGCTGTTTGTGGTCACCTCACCTATCTAGAGTTTTTGTTTGATTTGTGGTACCAATGCGGTGCAATTGTGACCGTTGGCTGAGCAGAATTGGGTAGGATGAACCTCCACAGCGACGCGGAGAAGCTCTGGCCGCGTGTTTATTCATTTGCAACAGCAGGTGGGCTGCTGTTGTTGGTTGGCTTGACCTTGCACCAGAAAGCCCCACGTGATGCTTAAAGTGTAGAATCAGTCTAGTTGACCACACGCTTCCAACGACTAGAAAAGGTTGAGCATCACATGCCGTATTGCTTTTGGCAGGCCCCATGCCCCGGGTTGACCTTTTGCGCATTTGGGCAACCTGTCCACCTGCAGAGCTTCCAAAGCTAGATGCAACACTGGGCAAGGCGAATCTCAGAAACCATCGACATCAAGAATGCATTGTAGAGTTTGAAAATGCTTCAACGGTCTTTGTGAAGCGACAACGTACCAACAGCTGGTACCAAAACGGACATGCATTCACAGACAAATATGTTTATTTTTTTCTCCCTCTCTCTCTCTCTCTGCTGGTGCAAGTCTATGTGGTGTGTGTGTGTGTGTGTTAGTGTTAGCAACGTCGCACGCTTCATCGTCACAGGCTTTAGGCAATGCTGACAGCTTGACATCATGGCAACTCCTGAGTGTCGCTCGGCTGGTGGCACATGAGAGATTGTCATTTGCGACCTAGGGCTAATTCATGCCGTTTTATGGTGGCTATTTTCTTGGGCACGTATGGCAATTGGATCGCATGGCCTGCTTTATCAACAGCCCTGAAGGCATTGTCCCGCTCTGGTGCGCTTCCACCTCGCTCTGCCACCTTAAAAGCTTGCTTGGATCACTTGTGGAAGATGGTCAAGGACACGATGTGGTGCACATTCGTGGTAATAGGCATGTGCACGTGTCTTCACATCAGCGACAAAGAACATCTAAGGGCTCATGTCCACTACTCTATCGGCGCTGTGCTTAAATTGACCCGGCCACCCGGTCAAGAAGCCAGATTCAACGGCAAGGGTCTCATGTTAAGCTCTTCCAAAAATATCTAGGAGCTTGTTGCCAATTGCCCGCAGGAATTCCAGGCGAACCCCGAGGACATTGCCAAGATGCTGGCACGCCTGCACCTGGCATCCAAAAGCGAGGCATGCGGGTTGGGTTTGGCTTGGTGCCAAAGTCATGGCAAGTGCCATTCCTGTAGACATTGACCTTTTGCAATTATAGAACGCACGTGTCAGGGTGCAGGCATAGAGCCAGAGATCCTTGATAAGATCAAAAAGGAGCTGGTGGCAACCAGCACCTTGGCGTGATTATGCCTGACCTTGTTTTGACGTGCCAGAGCGTTGTCAAAGCATAACAGCGCTGCAGGCCCTACACTTGATGTAGACTCTCTTTGCAGCCTGCTCCCGGTCATAGAGAGCAGCGATGAGACTCTGTGGGTCTTTGTCAGGCATGGTTGGTGGAAGTAGAGAAACTCAATTGACCGGCCTCCGTTCTTTCTTTGGTTTTAGAACATTGGAACGGGCCAGTTCAGAAAAGCATGTGGGCAAAAAGCAGGCGTTTTTGCCGCAGGGTATTTCCTGGCATCTCTCAAATCTATGAGTTTGGCCCTGCTGCAGGGACCAGCTTCTCCAGAAAAAGCGGATGCCGCCACATCCTCAGAGCTTTAGAGGACACGTCCAGCCTTCCTCCAGTCTAGCGCTTGGCCAAGTCTTCTTATGCAATAGAGAAGTAAATGAAATCACAAGTGGCTTAAGATACCGGACAGCAAACACATGAAACAAGACATTCATCAAATCATCTTCAGTGTCCGCCTCCTTTGCCTCCAGAGGCTGCAAAATAGCCTCGACGTCTTGGAATTTCTAAATCGGGTACCTGGCAAGAAAGGTGCACTCGAAGTGCCAATTTTTCCTGAGCGGAGTATGCGTCGGTCTTACCGTCACGTATACCAGATTTGTAGATGTCGTAGTTGTACCTTAAAGAGCTTCAGAGGGCTCTGTTTGAATGGTTGGCCTGAAGTAACAAGAAGCCACTAGTAGCAAGAAGCTATTAGTTATATAGGTGGTGGCCATCACTATTCAACTCTTTTGTGCAGGTGCTCAGAAGCTGCGCTTGTTCGTCGAAGTCAATTTAGAGATGAAGCTTTCGAAAGCAGCACAGTCGGACCCAAGCGATGTTGCTAGAATCTCCAGGCTCGGTGCACCAACAAACGTGTATTGCATGCTGCTTGCAAACAACATTGAATGTGCTGTGTAGCTGGAGTTCATTTTGAGCCAGGCACCTTCATGTGGTGGCTTCTTCAGGCAAGATTTGCCAAGGTTTGCTCAATACGGCCATCAATATGCGCAAGGACCGATATTTTGGTGGGAAACCTTTGGCAGGAAAAGATTCCCTGAACTGAGTTGTGCCAGAAAGGTAGATATCAGCCCAGCTTGATTGGACAGTTTGAGGTTGAGAAACGCTAGTCTTAAGCCCGCACCCAATGCTAGGACCTATACCCGGTAGTACTTTGGCTACTTTTCATGCGGACAGGCGGGATGGCCTGCTATGCAATTGCATAATCACATTAATAAGCTTAGGGCCTGTCCTATTACCTGTAATAGTCGGTGAACAAGTATCACTGCACAATTTTAGAGAAAGGCCTTTACTAACCATCATCATCCACTGTTACTGGCAATAGGATGGATGGACCCGAACGAGGTCCAAAGACATGCTCAAAATTATATTTTGGTCAATCACGTTCTCTCGTGAGCTTTGAACAAAGCTCACTGGACATTCGTAACAGAGCATGGAAGCCGCGAGCGAACGCTCTCGATTTTCTCTTCCATGCAACGTGGGTGAGTGGAAGAAAAGATCAATAGCAATCAAAGCGACCCTGATCAGGGTGCATGAAAATCAGACAACTGTGTTGTGGAGAAAAAGGATTGAAGGCTCATCGAACTCACATCATTAAAATCAAAATCAGAAATCACACTCAAAATCAATCAGAGCTTGAGACCCCCGTGAACACAGGAGCTCACTCCGTATGAACAGCCATATTCAAAGTGCCCTTGGTCAAAATTCTGCCGTCAGCGGACAGAACGGCGGGCGGCACACTTCGACCCAAAAAAGGCAGTCTGAATAGACTGGTCACTGGAAGCAAGCAAGAGCTGACAGTGCCTCGATGGCGGGCACCATGTGTCAGAACGGGAAATTGAGCTAACCGTGCAAAAACTGGGCTCCGATCGTTGTATAGGAGCCAAATCACCGCACCGATGTGGTATGGGTAGAAAAATTTTTGCATCACGAGTAGCTCTGGAAATCACCTTGACGTTGGCAGCGCCATTTGGGATGTGGGGATCTGATCAGACCGCACCAATCCCCGCTAGTCACGGGATCTGTGACCAACAGGGTGTGGTGGGTGGGAGAATTCAAGGATAGAGCTCGAGCCTTGAGCCAAAATGGCATTGATCAATGCCACATGGCCAAGGCGCAAGAGCTGATGATCATTCAACACTCGACCGAATGTCAAACAAGAACGATCGATTGCCTTCCTTATCCCTAGCCTACCAGACCGTTGATAAGAACACCAATCACGTTCTCTCGTGAGCTTTGAACAAAGCTCACTGGACATTCGTAACAGAGCATGGAAGCCGCGAGCGAACGCTCTCGATTTTCTCTTCCATGCAACGTGGGTGAGTGGAAGAAAAGATCAATAGCAATCAAAGCGACCCTGATCAGGGTGCATGAAAATCAGACAACTGTGTTGTGGAGAAAAAGGATTGAAGGCTCATCGAACTCACATCATTAAAATCAAAATCAGAAATCACACTCAAAATCAATCAGAGCTTGAGACCCCACGCTGTCCGAGCTCAGGGAACTCAGCTGGAATCGTCTTCCAACCTAAAAGATGACCTACGTTCATCAGATTTCTTGATGGCGGATCCGCCGGGTTAGAATCGGTCGGGACCCTGTCTATGTAGGCCAACACTCTGAGCTCAAGTGCCAACCTCCAAAACACGCTCACTAACGAGCAAAAATCTTCCCGAGCCGAGTAACCTTTGACCAGCGCTCCTTGAACTGGTTCAGAATCGACGAACAAAAGGATCCACGTTCCCCTCAACAGATCACGAAAAGTTTGGAGCGCAACAACGACCGCAAAAAGTTCGACCATCGCGATCTGTGATTTGCGGGGTAACCACGTGGCAATGAGCTGGTCCGGAACTCTGGCTCCGAATTGGAGCGGTTGTCTGCCTCGAGCGAAGACGACCCCACCTATCCAAGGAAATTCTAAACTGTCGATCTCGCCCTCCGGAAATGAGCCATCGGTAAAAACGACAAAATCAGCTTTCCTATTTCGAGCCTCTTCGATCGGACGGGGAGGCCCTTTGCTTATGAGGAACTTCCACTCCTCGAGCGCGGCTTTGAGCGCGCTATTCAAGGAGCTGCGAGCTGCAGACGAGTACTGTCGTTCGGACAGTGCCCGCAGAAAAGCCCTACCAATCTTACCCCATAATTGAGATGAACCAAACATCAGTTTGCCTCTCAGCTTCCCCGCCTGACCTGGCGAGAGAACTTGGTTTGCCAGGATCGAGTCGATTTCTTCGATCAATTCAGCTTTACGTTCTGCCTTGATCAACAGGCGGAGCTTGCACAAGTCGTATGTGATGCCCAGGATCGTGGGAGAACTTGTGAGCTGCAGCTTCTTGGGATCGAACTTGGCCCCAAGCCAAGTATGCACGGACTGAGCTGTGCTGAAAGCGGAGTCGATCGTCCGCTTTGTCTCAAAGCCGTACTTGTCATCATAGAAGTTAAAAGCAGCGACCAGGAACAACCTCCGCAGGATGTCTGTGATCAGAGCCGAGCGGCGGTTGTAATTGTAGACCGCCGCCACTAAACCGAAGGAGTGGCCAATCATCACGAAATAGGCGATCTTGCCCGAGCTTGGCTCTTTCATGGTAATCACACTCCACCTTCTATGATCAGGGTGGACAGGAACTTGACGATAGGCTTTCCGTTCATCGAGCACCCATCCATGAAGTCCCTCTCCATGTACCCTGGATCGCAACCAGCGGAGTGCGGCCACGTTGACATCTGTGGAAGGCAGCACGAGCTTGTCGGTGATCACCGTAGCTTGGTTGACCCCGTTGATCGTCGCGCTGTCCACACCTCTGACCTTGTTCTTTTGGACGACTTCGAACCTTTGCGTAGGAATCCACGGGTCACCAACGATCGCTGAGACTGCCTTCTTGTCGAAAAAGGGCCCCAAGGTCACACCGTCCTTGACGTCCTCGATCGTGGCGTCCCAGACCTTCTGTGTGTTCTCAGTGACCTCGCATTTGGCGACATTGTTAGTGACTTTCCGTGAAAACTCCCAGGCCCTCTGTTGGAGCTGCACCTGAGATAGATTTCTCTGGTCCTTTTCAAAGGCCGGCCACCGACCGGCGGCCGAAATAGGCCCAACAATGGTCATACCCGTGAGCATTTCATCAACGAGAGCCGCATCGATGGACCGTGCCTCGTGAGCCATTTCCCGCCACAAAGCAATGTGGGTGACCGAGCCGATCGAAAGCGGCTCCTCGTCCGGCGCACCTCTCAGCAGCATGCGCAACCATGGGTCCTGAACGGAGGCAAGGATCTGCTCCGTCACAGGCAGCAGCGCGACCGCGCGTGCCTCCCAGTGTGCTTTTGCCTTGAGCCTATGGGCGAGCAACCGATCCGGTTGGTGTGCCACAAACGACAGTGCCTCTTGTAGATCAGGTTCGAGATCGGGTGAAATGGAGAATGGATGATCAAGGTTCAAAGCGAAGCGAACTGCCTCGCCCGGTTCGAACTCACAAGGCAACAACGGTGGAACAGCCGACTTTTTGAGCTGGTAGCCAGCCGCAATGGCGCGCTCTCCAGTGTCTCTTTGCCTGTGGTCTTTCCATGGCAACGGTTGACCGACCGGCCTTTTCCTATGAGCGGCGGGCACCTTCATGGTGAAGGTAGCGGAGAGAGGATCACTTTTCTCTCCCACAATGAGCTGAGCCCACTCGTCACAGAGCTGCCATGGGTAGACTTGAGCAAGCCGCGTCTTGAAGACTCTCCCGCCGTCCACAACGGCAAAGCCAACCAAAGGATCATGTACATGAGGGCGTCGATCACGATCGCAACGCTTGCCCAAGACCTGCAAAGAGGCATTGCCGAGCAGTGCCGTGGGTTTCAGGTGTGCAGAACCAAACCGACACATGTCGAGCTCGGTACGACTAACATTGGCGAGCTTGGCCAGCCGTTGAACTGGAGGCATAGCCCACAGGTAGGATCCGAGCGGGTTCTCGATGGACCAGAAGGCGCCCGCCGTGTGAGCCAGATTCGCCAGGTCGACCGTGAGCTGCATCAACTTGTTTCCAACCCGAACTTTATCCTGGTCACGAGCTGTCAGATTTGGCAGCCCCCAGAGCGCCCGTCGAGCGCGCAGCGGCGGTGGCCCGCCATCATCTTTGCGAGCCAAGGAAAAAGAAGAGCAAGGCGTGCCGAAGTGGATGTAGTTGATCCAACCCTCACGAATGAGCGACTCCAAGTGTTCCAGCACACGACTATCAGTCAGATCCACTGCTTCGAGAACAAACTGGTTGGGAGTGATCTCGATTGGCGGCAACACTGATCCGCCTGCCGCCTGGATTGCCCGAGTGAGAACAGCTTCGCCTGCAAAAATTTCCAGAAAACAACCGGCCTGATCCGGCCGTCTCATAGAACCCCAGAATGGCTGCGACGTCTCAGCTGAGGGTTGAACCTCCGCTTCATTTGCCGCAGCTGCCTCCGGAGCCGGAGACGAAATGTCATTTCAGTGGTTCCCCACCATGGGGTGCGACGAGCCACACTGCATGCACAGGTGCTTAAACCTGCACTTGTCCCCGAGCGTGCATCCCATGGATGAGTTGAAGTAATGGCACCTCTTGGCGCCGTTGACGTGCTGAGCTGCTTGGGAGATGGCCTTCCATTCGGATTCAGGGATCCGTTTGTCTTTGGAAGGTGCTGCAGCTGATGCCTGCGAACGCGGCTTGACATGCCCAGTCTTGAGCTGCTTGACCTGCTCCTGCAGGCGTTCGAGCTTGCGCTTCTTCTTGTTCTTCTTGGCGAGCTTGACAGGCGTGTCATACTGCACTCGATCGGAAGTATCCGTAGTGTCGACTGTCTTGGCGTGCTCCGACCGAGCCAGCTGAGCCTTAGTGCGAGCATCATTCCACAGATACTTGTGGTTGGTTAGCACTTCTTGGAGAGCAAGCTGGTAGGTGGAGTAGACCTCACGTTGCTCTGCCTGCAGCCGGTAGACCTTCTTTCGGATCAGCGAGTCTGCGAGCTGCAGGAAAGGAAGACTGGGGCACTCTGTACGGAACTGCTCAAGTTCTTGGATGTATCTGAGCGGCCCCGTCCCCCTGGAATACTGGCAGATGTTGAGGTACTCGAGCGCCATGAAAAATGCATGGATCCTGTTCATGAGCGTGTTGACATCCGTGACCGAATCAGGCTCCTCGGCCTTGGCCACTGTCAGCAGATCTTCTGCGTTCTTC